CTACAACATGGATGGATCTAGAAGGTATAATGCTAAGTGAAATGAGTCAGTCAGAGAAAGACAAATACCAAATAATTTTATTCTTATGTGGGACTTAAGAAATAAAACAAATGAACAAAGCAAAAAAAGAGACAAAAAGACTCTTAAATATAGAGAACAGACTGATGGTTGCCAGAGGAAATGTGGGGAATAAATGAAATAGGTGAAGAGAATTAAGAATACACTTAATTTTTTAAAAATATTTTATTTATTTATTCATGAGAGAGAGAAAGAGGCAGAGACTGACCCCTCCCTTCCACTGCCGTCCCCATAAGTTGAAACCACATCTTTAGGGGTTAGGGTCTAGGCATCTCTATTTTTGAAAAGTTTACTGGCTGATTTTGATATACAGTGAGGACTGAGAGGTATTAGTACAAAGGGGGAAAAGGAGGTAGATAACAGGGACATAATCTGTTCTCTCGTTCTTAGCTTGCTTTTAATTTTCTTCTCCCAAATCTGAGCTAATCTGAGTAAGCAATCTTGTGGGAGAGTGTAAGCAAGCCCTTAAAAGTCTTGGCTCAAATAGATTTTGCAAGTAAAGGTAAAGCTTTATGGAGCCTCAGAAGTCTCTGGTAACACTCTGTAGATACCTGAGGAAGCAGCTGGCCCTCTACTGTGATTTCTGAATAAGTACCTCGTACATTGCCCTTTGCACTTGAGGTGCAGAGAAGCCTTCTGACAGCTGTTTTTACTGTGTTTGGTGGCTAGAGACCATGATGGAGAGAAGAAAATGGCTAACTTGAAGAAGGATCATAAAAAGTGATTTTTAAAAAAGAGCCGATGAAACAACAGGTGGGTCAGTAATCTTTGTGCCCGGCCCAGATTGTACCACATCTAAATCTGTGCCTGCTGCAAACAACATATGGCACCCACTCAAGACCCCTCCAGCACACTTTTGAAAACCAGAATATAATTTAGGCTGGTGCAGGAATATGTTCGCTGAGTGTACTTTGGGAAAAGCTTATTACACCACCAATTAAATAATCAGCAGCAACACAAGTAGTAAAAGTCATAGCTCTGGAAAAAGAAATACTTAGCATTGATAGTGTTAGAATAATATGGAAAAAAAAAAAAAAAGCCTAAGAGGTGGACTGTGGTTAAGTAGAAAGAGCACTGGAATGGAGCCTGTAGCCCTGGATTCAGATCCTGGCTTTGGCTCTGTGATTTGGGCAAGTCATATTATTCTCTGAGAGACTCAGTTTTATGATTTAAGAGATGAACTAGTCCAAGCCCTGGGCTCACTGTTGCAGGTGCATTCCAAATTTTTATCATAATACCCAATTTATAATTTAAAAAATCTAAGTCATATCTACAAATGTCACAGAAGAATGCATTTATGATTTTCCATTTTCGATTCCATATGATTATTTCTAGAATAATTTTACAATTTTGCCAATCTTACATCCTATCAGTTTGACATCCCTTGTCAGAAAGATAGTCTCTTTAGTTTCTGAAAAGGGCTAATAACTAATTGCAGCATCTTGGTCAAGTCATGCAGAGCTCACTGTGTTCTTTGGCACACTGTCAAAAAGTTTATTTATTTATTTATTTTTAAATATTTAGTTATTTTTTCAGAGAGACACACAGAGAGGGAGGCAGAGACAAAGGCAGAGTGAGAAGGAGGGCTCATGCAGGGAGCCCGATGTGGGACTCGATCCCGGGACTCCAGGATCACACCCTGGGCCCAAGGCAGGTGCTAAACTGCTGAGCCACCCAGGCGTCCCTCAAAACGTTTAAATGTAATGAATCAGTGCAAGAACAAGAGACTAATACAGAAAAATGCTGTATTATCTATAGGAAAAGTTTTATCTTTCTAGTAAATAACACGAAACAGAAGCACTCCTTAACATATGTGGGTATGTGGTATCACTTTTGTAATGGGATCTTTTTTAGAAAAGCATTTGTTAGGATTCAATTCCTGAAGCTTTCTTTTGCTTTATAATATTTAGAGTGTGATCATCTCTTACTCTAAATATAGTATTTCCTGACTTAATGATGGACCAAAAGTGTTTTATTCCCCAGAGTGTATATTCTTCTTTCCATAAGCTCTGGGGCATGGCTTTGTCAAATTTGGAGTAACTCAGACCAAGAGGTTGAGTCTTCACAGAATAGCCTCTGACCTTGGGTGGCAGAGACAGAAAAACTAAACAGCCACTAGTTTCCTGGGGAGTCTTTTTCTTTCTTTTTTTAAAAGGTTTTATTTATTAGAGACACACAGAGAAAGAGAGAGAGAGAGGCAGAGACAAAGGCAGAGGGAGAAGCAGGCTCCATGCAGGGAGCCTGAAAGTTGGACTCCATCCTGGGTCTCTAGGATCATGCCCTGGGCTGAAGGGGGCGCTAAACCGCTGAGCCACTGGGGCTGCCCCTCCTGGTGAGTCCTTATTAAGAAGTTCTTCAAAAAAAAAAAAAAAAAAAAAAAAGACTATGTGGATACACTTTTTACAGCAGCTGCCACAGTGCTGGTAAAACCTCTAGTAATGTGTCTTTAAGGATTTGTCTCTGTGCTAAACTAACTGGAAAAATAATAATAGCAATAAATGCTTTCCCATGCACCTTATGAAGGTCTTATTTACACAGTACAATTTTAGCCACTTCTTACTTTGAATGGAGGGATCTAGTCATTGATAATGTGTTTAATTTCACAAATGTGCAAATTTCACTTTCAAGCAAGGACTTGGACTCAGTTTACATGTCCACCTAATAATATTTACAATCAAGTTATGGGCAGGTCCTTTTTAAACTAACAAATGCCTATCTTTCATTCTAGAAATACACAGACCTCTCTATTTTCTGAACATTTTTCCCTATGAGGGCAATTTCTTTTCTAATATAGACACATTATGATGTTGTAGACAGCATTTCAATATGCGATAGGCCCAAATCTTGGCCCAAATCCAGGGGAGCTGATTTTATTAAACCACCAAAAGAACGCTGATTTCTTGTGGATTCAAATATAAAGCAATCACTTTATAAGGACTCATACTCTTCCCTCACCCCCTAAGGAGAATATTGAAACCAGACCACACTATACCTATGACTAATTAATTACCTCTGGCTAATGCCTGGCTCTATTTTTCAATATAAAATGATTTTTTTTCAATATAAAATGATTATATGACTACAGAAAAGTAAGTCTCCTCTATATTTAATTCCCAATGTTACAGAACATCAAAAAAATACAGTCTTTAAAACTTGTCACTTTTTTTCTATTGAGGTCAAAGAGAAAAAGATAAGGATTACTGCAAGTATACAAATATAGATCCAGTGCTTTTGGTAAGTCCTCTTAAAATTTTCTCTGGCTTTACCAATTTGAGAGTCACTTTTTATTGATAAGTCTTATCTTAATTTGCAAAAATGCATGGTTAAATGGTTTCTAAAGTCACTTTGATAATCGCAGTGCTACTTACTGATACTTACTGCTAAAAGGTTGGTTGCATCTTTTATACCTGCTTGTGGTTTCAACTGCCAGCCATCAGGGAAGTGTCCCTATAATTGACAAAGGGGAGAAAATAAAAGATAAAGAAGAGAAAGAAAAGGAGGGCAGTAAGGCAGATAGATTTTTCATTTCTTATCTTGTGATACACTCTGTAGCAGTAAACACTACTATCTCTTAAATAGACCCTTTGAAGGCAGAAAAAGAAAACACTCCAAGAGAAAGCTTTAATACACTGGAGATTGCCTTCCTGTTCATCGTGGCTTTGTCCTTTTGGAAAGTCTGCATGACCTCTCCTCCTTGTATTAAATAAAACAAGGATGCAAGGACTGATGATTCGATTTGGTGAGTTAGTTACAGAAGTAGCTCTGGCATCTGTTACTTCCACTCTGTTATCCATTACTTCTCTTCTGTTAATGGCAGCAGACATTTGATTAACTACTGAGATTTGGACATGAAGGGGATCCAAGGTGGGTTGTGAAGTAAATCACATAGCTACATCTCTGCTTCATCTTCACCTCACCTGTTCCTCTGTTTCCAGACTGCTGGCAGACTGGCAGCTGGAGACCTTCACCTTGGGCAGGAAAAGCTCTAATTATTTTAAGAATAATTGATTTAAAAATGCATATTATAATAGCCTGTTAATAAAACTCCTGGAGTATATATCATTTACATATCATTTGTGGTGTAACATTTTTTGGGAAGAATTAAGAGCAAATCTCCCCTTCCCACCAAATTGATAAATTAATGGATAAAACTAAAAGGGTAAGAGGATTAAATAATTTCTAAATATTTACAAAATTCTTAATTTCTGCACAACCTATAGCAGAGAATAAGGACTGCCTTTTATATATTCATATTGAGAGTCATAAGAAAAAGATCTGGGCAGCCCGGGTGGCTCAGTGGTTTAGTGCCTGCCTTTAGCCCAGCTGTGATCCTGGAGACCTGGGATCGAGTCCCACATCAGGCTTCCTGCATGGAGCCTGCTTCTCCCTCTGCCTGTATCTCTACCTCTCTTTCTCTCTTATGAATAAATAAAATCTATTTTTAAAAATTAAATAACTATGTAGTTTTAAAAAAAAAGATCCAAGTAGAAAAAGGCAAAAACCCAAATTTCTTAGTAGTGATCAAATGTTGTAGCATCCAACAAAAAATAACAAATATTTACCTAATGGATTAACATTTACTGTAAGCCCAAATACCAGAAAACATTTGTTTGAAAAGTAATTATAGATTTTGTTTCCTGAATGACTTGTTTAAATATCCAGGTCATAATGTAGTCAACTTTCTTCCGTGTGGTTGTACAGCATCAGATGTTAGAGCCAGTAGTAATTGTAAAAAGCATTTAATAGTTCAAATGAATGTGGGCAGTCAAGGGGTAAATGAATTTCTGAAGGTAAAACTTGACTGGATGGTCTGGAACTCATACCTTAGTCTTTTCATTGTCAGTTCGGTGCTTCCTGTTCCCTATGCTGAACACATTAGAAAGCTTTTATATTTGATTGTCACTATTCACAACGAGGCATAATCAGTCCTGGAAAACCAAAAATGGAAGGTGAGGGGAAATACTGTATAAAATCTAAGATCAACTAACCAACCAAATTATGGAAGAAAAATTCTGCCACAGACCAAACCTCATAACCTGAAAAGAACCAAGAAGATAATTCTCATCCATTTAGTACTTGTACTTCCACAAGAGCTTACGCCAAGGCCCAAACTTGACTCAGTTGAGATCCAGAGTTTACAGAACTAAAAAGATGGAGTGGAGGTATACGGTTAAGGTCACAATTGGTATTATTAGACAGACGTCTATCCCGGGATGACATAAACCATCTGTCTTTGTTGCTGATTGAAGAAAGGTCCAGCCATGGACCATCCTGGACCTAGCAGTCACCAGGAATGCAAACATACTCAGTCTAACAGTTCATTGGCTCATGATACATTCTTTCTTAGCCTAAAATTAGCATATAAACTACTATGGAGGGTTACTTGCATATGCAAATATGTCACTCTAGCAACTGTTGCTTGAGGGCAAAACCTGGTGATTTCTGGCAAAGAGATTTCCAAAGTGAGCTAGCTCATACTGTGTGCTCCTTACTCAATTAAACGGAAAGGCTCCTTAAACGGAATATTTATTATAGTTGCAAGTGTACAGGCTCATTATGTAACACGTAAAGATGCCAAAGATAAACACACGGAAGACCAAATACAGATAAACAATACAGATTGATTGATAAATTCCATTAGGAGACATTACTACATATTCCATCCTATAATCTCATAAATCAAAGCCTTTAACTGTCTGGACTCGTATGTGACTGTATTCTTTCCAGGGTGCATTCTTTCTTCTTCCAGGGGTTGTTCAATAACAGCAGGTATGTTTCTGCCATAAAGTTCACATTGTTCTAGAAACTGGACACATTCTTGAATAACACTGTCACAGAGCACAATAATGCGTTTTGACATGTTTTCTAATAAGGACAGGAAGCATCTTTTGGCGTAATACCAGGTGTCAGTTCCCAGTTTCTTATGATAAGGTTCCAGGCTTTTGATAACCCGAGAAATACCAAAGTCATAATTTCCTTTGGCACAATAGAGTGTCCCTATCACCAAATTCACAATGCAGAGATGGTAGATTTTCTTATCGGGGTCATTGTAGGACAGCTGCTTTTCCTCCTTCTCAATCTTTCTCATCAACTCCTCAGCTTCTTCATTCTGACTTGTCATAATGTACGAAACACACAGGTTAGCCAGCACGATAGCACTGACATTCAAGATGTTGTCATAATGCTTCTTGACTATGGGCTCATAGAAACCGATGGCTTCTTTGTATTTGTTTTCCTGCATGAACAGGACGTGAGCCACGTTCAGCTTCCACACATCGTGGTCATTACAGAATTCCACAGATTTGCGGAAGATCTTTTCCACCATTGGATAATTCTCAAGGTTCCAGTAGATCTTTGCCTGGGCCATCAACACGGGGATGTACTTCTCCAGGGTGTCGTCATACTCATTCACTGCCTTCTTGACAGCTTCATCATCTCTATTGTGTCTTGCTTCCTGTACTTGTTTGGTGAGTCTCCGGAGCTGTTCAGTCAGCATCCCTGCCAGCCCATCAAGCTTAACGAAAGCCTCTTCCGGAGCCGTCTGGCAGGTGATCATGGCATCCAAGAAGTCATAGAGATAGGGGGTGAGGAGCCTGTAGGTCAAATGGGCATTCTCTGCCAGGACATCGGCCGCCAGGTCAAAATACTCATACTTACAGTAGAGCAGCAGCAGGTTGCCAAAGGTCTCTGGGGGGAAGGGGTTCTGCTGGAGCAGAAACTGTAGCTTTTCAAACCCTTCCGTAGGCCTGGTGTCCATGTTCATCAGCGCCTGGTTGTGCAGGGTCACGGGGTCTAACTCTTCTTCTGACCTCGGTGGCATGTCCGTGAGGGTTTCCTGGGCCACCTCATAGTTTCTCAGTTGGTACTCTATGGCGGCCTTGAGGTTGAAGGCCTCGACCAGGGCGGTCTGGTGAAGCACTAAGGTGTTGCCAACGCTTCGGACATCAATGCCCTCGGTGGTCATGCCCACACCAAGCTCCGGGTGCCTGCGGATACCATGTTCTATGATGTCGGCGATATGCTTCAGCGCCGAGGCGTACTGCCGGCGGCTGTAATAGGCCAAGGCCAGGTTGTAGGACAGGTCAGGCCGGTAGCCCGAGGCCTGCAGCGCCGCGAAGAACTTGGAGCACGCGGCTTCGTACTGTCCCTCCTTGTAGAGCAAACAGCCCAGGTTGACCTGGCCGTCGGGCTCGCCATCGCCCCCGCTGTCGTCCCCGCCTTCCGCGCTCAGCAGCTGCTCCACCAGGCTCTTGGCCCCGGGCAGGTCGCCCTCGCTGTACTTGATGGCGGCCTGCAGGCGGAGGACCCGGCCGTGGTAGGCGGGGTTGTCCAGCAGCAGGAAGGCCACGCGGGTGGCCTCCGGGTACAGGCAGGCCTTGTACAGGGCCTGGGCCTGGTACAGGCGGTACTGCTCGAGCTCCGGGTGCAGCTGGCCCAGCTGCTCATAGCACTCGGCGGCCAGCGCGAACTCCTGCAGGCGGTAGTAGCAGTAGCCGAGCAGCGACAGGCCGGCGCGGCTCCTCGGGCTCCGCTGCAGCTCGGCGCCCAGCAGCTGCACCGCCTCGGCGTAGCGGGCGTCGCGGAGGAGCCGGTACACGACGGCGGTGAACTCGCCATCGGGGACGTGCGCGCCGCCCAGCCCGGCCATGCCCGCCGCCGCGGCGCTGGGGCGCGCTGGTTGCCACGGCAACCGGCCGCCCGAAAACGAACAGCTGCGGGCCGGGAGGTACTTTGTAACTGAATAAGCCTGTTAGGATTTAAAAGCCATCAGTGAAGGTGGCCTCTCAATTACTACTTCCGCCCCGCAAGACTTGAGACTGCTAAGGCCGTTAGTCAAGGAATACTGAACAAACGCGTCCACGTTGCTCAGAGACGAAAACTCCACTTCCCGGCATGCACCACTCCAGTTGCGGCGTATCCCGTGCGTGGCCGCGCTGCATGCTGGGGCGCAGTCTCGCGGGACCGACCCAGAGGCCGGGAGAGGAGGCTTGGTTGCCCTCCCCCCCCGCCCCCCCCCCCACCCCCCACCCCGGTATTCGGGAAGATTGGGGGCCGCCGCCTGTGTTGTTCGATATGAGACCAAAAGTCCTTATTTTTGTCGTTTTCACAGGTGACGGTAGGAAATGGTTTTGTGACTGTTTTCTTGCTCTCTGGGACATCCGGTTTTAGGTCCAAGTGTCTCTAGTCCTCTTTTTTTTTTAAATTTTTTTTAAAGATTTTATTCATAAGAGACAGAGAGAGAGAGAGAGAGAGGCAGAGACCCAGGCCGAGGGAGGAGCAGGCTCCGCGAGGGACTCGACCCCGGGTCTCCGGGGACACGCCCTGGGCCAAGGCGGCGCTAACCGGTGCGCCACCCGGGCTGCCCACGTGGGCACTTTATTAGGTCATTAGGGTACATTTTTTTTTCTTCTAATCTTCATATCCGCTCCTATTTTGTATATTACAGGTAAAGAATCTGCGTACAGGGAAGGTGTGGGTTATTTGCTGAAGGCCGCACAGCCAGGGAGTTAGCAGCTGTGCCATGGTATCTGACACCTAGTTTTGGTAAGAAATAGTGACTGGTAAACAACTCATTGTGTATGTGACCCCCAGAAAGGAGTTTGGAGGAGCCCAGTGTGTGGGGCCAAGTTGTAGAATGGAACATTCGTGTCATTTTGCTCCATTCAGCCAACCAACCGAGTCGGTGCCGGCAGCAGAAGTTTGGAGTTTCAGATCCGAATTGGAGCTGTGAACACACGTTAGGAAGTAATTAGTGGGTGGAGGTGGTGTAGCTTCTAGTCACGTGTTACCTAGGAGGAGACTTCTGCAGGTTTCTCACTGTTCACATCAGAAAACAGTAGACTTTATGTATGTTCAGTCTTCCCTCTTGCTGAGACATTGGCAGAGCTGTGAATTTCTGAATGGGGCCAGAAAAGGAACTTGCCACCGCATGAATACGGAGAGGGGAACAGACCGCACACATTTCAGAGGGTTAGGTGAGAGCTCTCGCACACCTAGGATACCCTGAGAAAAGAGCCAGTGAGGACTACTGTAGCTCAGACGCTTCTTTCAACGCAGCCTCTGCGTGCACCCGTTTAGGGCCTTGGACTCAGCAGGTATGTGGGTTGACACAGGCTGGTGAATGCTGCCCAGTGAGTGTGGGAGGATCTTCACCTTTTGGGCTGCCTGCCTACATGTGCCCCTTGGGAACTCAGGCTCAGTATTTTAAAATCCTTAGGTATGAACTGTAACTTTGGGTAAGTTACTGTTAAATCAATGTAAGATAACAAAAATACAGAAATGGGAAACTACCTTTTTTTTTTTTTTTTTTAGATTTTATTTATTCCTGATAGAGAGAGAGAGAGAGGGACAGAGACACGGGCAGCGGGAGAAGCAGGCTCCATGCCAGGAGCCCGACGCGGGACTCGATCCCAGGACCCCAGGATCACACCCCGGGTCAAAGGCAGGCGCCAAACCACTGAGCCACCCAGGGATCCCAGGAAACTACCTTTTTATCTTTGGTCTATCAGTCTTTTTTTCAGAGTTGTATCACGTAAAGCATTCACCTTCAGATGGCTTCTTGGAAGCTGAAAAACAGAAGGACTATCTGCTTTGCCCCAAATTTTCCTGATCCCTTCAGGCATCAGTTGGGGACCCCGCTTTGTGTTGGTACCCATCTGTGGGTGAGGCAGCTGAGGGGGGCAGGAGGGAGGCTGCTCTGTGTCTTCCCCCTTACTGCATGTGCTACTGTTCCTGAGGCCTGGCTTGAAAAAAGCCCAGGACATTCGGTTTAGACAGATGGAGGGCAGGGTCATTTTCAAAACGAAATGAGTGCACAAATCACACTGTGAAATTGGCATGACCATCACTGCTGCTGTGATAGACTGACTTTTATTTAGTCTCTGATAGGCAGTTGGGGAATAGATTAGTTTTTTTTTTTTGAGGTGGGGCGAAAAGAAGGCCCATTAATTAATGATAGAAATTCTGGAAAGCAGTAAATGGGATGGAATATTATAAAATGTCATAAAGGCTCATTTTGTTTCCAAAAATCTTGAAAACTGGAGCATGTATCAAAAGGTAAATGTACCATTCTGAACAATAAGAAAACATTTGGTGGTTTCAATAAGATGATTTAGTGCCTTGTTGAAAGAAACCAGGCTTTGAGAAAATGGTGTTGGACTTGATGGATTTTGCTGCATAAGGAAGGGACGTTTACCATGTAGAAGAATTTCATTTGCAAAATGTGTAGGAGCTAAAAGTGTGACGTTTGGTTCCTCATATGTTTATGTTTCTGCCTGCCAGAATCAGAGATGATCAAATCCTGTTCTGTTTGTATGTATAATCTTTTCGCTATTGGCTTGTAAAACAGTTGGAAGGTGGGATTTCTTATTTATCCTGCAAGTGTGATCCTTTCCTGTTGGTAAAGTCGTCATTTCTGAACATTTCAACTACCACAGCTCTGGGCAGACATCTTCCTTGATAACGGAAGACCTTCTGCAAAAACATTTGCCAGGTGTTCTTTCTGTTTTCCTGTCATTGCAGGACATTTTCTTCAGGATGGCCAGTTTCAGGGGCTCAGTTGCCTTGTTTCCTCTCAACAATAAACAGGGAAAAAGAATAAGTTACTGCCAAATTGGCAATGGAATTGACTTTTAGGAGCATCTGTTCAGTCTTTTAATACTTTTGGAAAGGTTGCATACCAAATCAACACTTGGGGACATTTATGCTCAGATAGTAAGCCATTTAGTCTCATTGTGAACTCTCTTTTTGCTGGTAGTTTCAGCTTTATTAATATTTTATTTTTTTAAAGATTTTATTTATTTATTTATTTATGAGAGACAGAGAGAGAGAGAGAGAGAGAGAGAGGCAGAGACACACGCAGAAGGAGAAGCAGGCTCCATACAGGGAGCCCGACGTGGGACTCGATCCCAGGTCTCCAGGATCAGCCCTGAGCTGAAGGCGGCGCTAAACTGCTGAGCCACCCAGGGATCCCCAGCTTTATTAATATTTTAATTAGATTTCCTTCTTGGATATACCTTTTTTTTTTTATCAAGTAGCTTATATTTGAGTGCTTACAGTGTTATTATCTAAATTAACTTATCAGGGAGAACACAATAGCATTATAGTTTTATAAGTGGAATTAGTAGAGAAGGAACAACTGTGGATACTGGCATTTAAGGAAAGCAGCCAACCATCCAAACAAAGAGCTACTCTAAGCCTCGTGTTTATGCAGTACTCTCTGTACCAGAACCAGGTCCTGCTTTGCCTAACTTCCCTCATTAATCCTCACAGCCCTTCTGTGAATTAGGTGACTCTTAACCCTTGGCCCCATTGGAAAATCCTGGGCTGCAAAGCACAAAAAGCAGCCTGTGGCTGCTGCAGCCAGCACGTGGGGACTGGCAATTGCTTCGGCTGGCCAGTAGGGGCCATACTGCACCTCTTCGCTCGCTCCCCCTAGGTACCTCCTCTCCAGTCATTGGAATTGGCTTTGGATCATTTGCTGCAGTTTGTTCTAATAGAACAGACACAATGGTGTAAGAATTTTAAAGTTTAAGCACCGAAGCCGTTGTGTAATTGTGTGGCGTCAGTGTGGCTGGCAGCCCTGCATTGATGCGATCCCCCTGTGTAATTGCCCACGCAAATTCGAGCAATCTGTAACGGACGCAGGAACCCACATTCGCCTGCAGATTCTTCTCCCTCCAGAAAATCTTCAATAATTCGAAGAACCTTTTGTCATCTTTAAAATGCTCCATGGACAGGATGGTCTCAGTATCCTTCTCATATGGGCTACATTGACAGTCAAAATTTAAATCGTCAGTATTCAGATGCATGCTTGCCTCTTCCAGTCATTAAATCACCCTTCTTCAGAGAGATAAAGATTATTCCAGAGGCTTAGTAAAACTTTAAACACTTTATTAAAAACAAAGATATTTAGGTTTCTAAAAGCAGACTGTTTCAAACTCATGAATTGGTTACTTGGGAAATGGCCACGCAATCTGTAAGGTAGTATTCTTACAATGAAACATCAGCCTGGCAAATATGCACAAAGAGAGTCACTTTAAACAACTCAACTGAAGACATATTTCCCTTCTTTTGTGTCAAACAGTAATAATTAGGATGCAAATCCAGAGGGGATCCTTTTTAGACTATTGTATATCGAAATAAAGTGGCAAAAGCAATTTTCCCCCCTGGGAATGAGACTTAACAAAACCTAATCTCTCATTTCTAAACTATGCTGTTTCTTTCTTTTCCTTTCTCCCCACCCCTTTCTCTCTCTCTCTCGTTCATCTAAATATGATTTGATCTAAATCTAAAGAAAACACTGAGATCCTAATTATATATATATACACACAGAAAGTGAACACAAAGATGATAGCTTCGAATAGCACATTTTTGACACAGCAAATACTTCATTTACTTAACATATTTCTGGGCCAGTGTATTCATTCAACAACATTGGAGATGTGTGTGTATATGTATATATACATATATATATGCTACACAGATAAACTGAACTTTAGCCTTGTTGAGAGATGTGCTAAATATGCGAGAACGTTCAAAATTAAATCAGAGAAGAGGTAACCCCAAATTACTAGCTGAGGAAAAAGGTGGTAACAAATAGTGTAAGGACACCAGGTACTGCTGAACTGTGTGCTCCTCATGACGTTCCCTGGACACGCTTCATTTTGTTTCTGCCATCTCTGTGTTTGATTCTGTTACTGCTCACTTAAGAAATTCTGGCCTGCTCGTGGCCAGGCTCACCCTTTACATTTCCTGCTGCATTTGAATTTGGGGAGTTCTTTACAGCAAGCAGGAGAACAACTGTTTCAGAGACTTGCTCCGAAGCAGACAATGAAACCTCCCTGCACTGACACTGCCAGAGTTTTCAGGGTCCAGAATTAGGTTTTGTTCTGTTGTTTAATGAATCCTCTGAGTTTTTATTTTTTCCAGCCCAGACATTTTTCTTTAGATTTAAATCTTCCCCCCCCATGTGTTTAGATTTTTGTCCTGCTTAAAGGGAGTTGACACTATTTCTGGGGATGAGACTGTATTTTATCTTTCTGCAATTCATTAAGAGTCAGCAGGAGAAATGGATTTTAAAATAATTGTACGGCAAAGTAAATTGAGCAGACTGTGTTTAATGACCTAAGGTAAGTGGATAAAGTATGATAAATTTTGATACCTGAAAAACAACTGAATTCCTGTAGTGTTAATATTAGATAATGTTATTATGCTAACAAAATTTTAAAGATGATTTCTAATCCAACCCAATGTGTATGTAAATATAAAATACCTATAAATGTATAGACCACTCAGATTTTAGAAATAAACACATACAATTTTAATTGCATTTGACTCATTTCATAAATTGACTTCTAAATTATAGTGACTGCCATTTGTGGGATATCTAGATGTGAGATAATCTAAGACTGTCCTTTATGAAGTAAAAGGGTGTATTTAAAAAAAATTGTCCTGATGACCATATTTTTTATGATCACTAGAGGCAGGCTCAGATCTATCTGTAGTAAGGCTGTTTTATATTTAACCCATATATGTAACTTTTTATTCTGTCTTTAGAAGACGACCTCCTTTAGGTTTGGTCCTGTTTTATTTGAGAAGAGTAAGTAAGACAATTATGTGGAAAACACTTTAAAAATTAAATACAGCTTGGTCCTCCAGTGTAGAAGGGAACTGAATAAAAGCCAGCATCTTTCTTTTACAGTTGGAAAACCCAAGACCTGAAGGGTCCCAAGAGAACAGGTCCAGCTGGTGGCCAAGTCAGGGGGGAGCCCCCCTCTGCTCTGCATTGTGTGGTGCCCTTAATGGTCTGCACACTGTCCCTCTTGGCCAGGATCGTGAGCCACACTGGGGGTTGTGTATGTATAATCTACATATTGATTAATAAGAAAATAAATAGCATGTCTGAAAAAATCCATCACACGGAGAAAGTAGGATGAAGTCGTCATTTCAGCCATTAATGGCCAAGAGAGGAAGCAAACATGATCTGGTCAGTTGGAGGTTTTATAAGAAGGCTCACTTTTTAAATGCCTTCCTCCAGTAGGAAATAAACAATAATAAGGACTGAGAAAATGTTTACTGTAAAAACGCAGAGTACTTGGATAACCACACCTCAGAGTCTTGGAAAATTACACATTATTTAGAAAAGGGATTAAAAATATCCCAAACTTGCAAGTGTTCAACCTCTCACCCCTGGGGTTGCACAGGGAGGGCGCTGCTGTCCTTTTCCACTGCCTCATGGTCTCTGAGGAACAGACCCATGGCATTAGTCAGCAGTTTCTGAATTTTGACCCACAATAGGAAAGATACCTCGAGACAGGAAAAATAGATGGAGGCAATTACAAACAGCTACTTGATTGATGGTTGACATTGTCAGGGCTCCAGTGTATGGCAGATTGCGATGGTGTTGAACTCCCCTTGCTACCAGTGGGTGTTGCTATTGGCAACCGTGCAGTGAAGCCAATAAAAAGGCAAGAAAATGAGACGAAAGCTCAACCCTAGTGGAAGCCGTAGGGTTTGTGCTATAAATTATGTTCCCTTTAGCAACATGTAGCATCAACGCTCAGGGCGGCCGCAGTGTCGCGCTGCCTGCAGCCTCCGTCGGACCCTGGGTCTAGCTTTGTCATAAAGCACATAGCTCTAAAATTTTGCTCCAGATAGCCTGGCATCCGTCTGTCGGGGCTATTTATTTATTTATTGTTGGGGAGGATAACAGATGTGGGTTCATCTCTGCCTCACACGGACTGATTTTCAATTCCCGCTCACGACATAAACGTGATGTGGCCCAACAGCCAGGAACACCTGCAGTGCTTCCGCGCCCGGCCAGGGTCTGTCCCTAACTCCGCGGCGCTTTGTTCCTCACCTGAAGGACGCCAGACCGCGCCGCAGAAGCTATTTTCCTTTATAGCAGAGTGATTCAGAAAACTGGCTTAATAAAACCCATAAATCTGAACAACCTCCTCTTACCTGCTCTGCGGATGGCAATTTTCCCTGTTCTCGTTTTCTCCCCCGGTTCCTCCCGCCTTCCCCGCAGAGGCAGCTGTGGAGGGGAGCCAGGAAACTTCTTGTTCGGGCTCCCGCTCCCCCCTCCTCTCTCCTAAGCAGTTGGTGACAGGATGCTGTATCCTCAGGTGGGGGGTTAGAAGCGCCACTTGTCTTTATTTGGATTGACCCTTGGCTTTGCCTTTGGCCGTCATCCTACCAGCCGCCTCAGTATCTTTTCTTTTTTGGGTGTCTTTTGCTTCTCGTCCTCGTCTTCCTCTTTTTCTCCCCCTCTGCCTGGTTTGTGATTTTCCTTCACTTGCTTTCTCGCCATATAGGCTCTTAGCCTTCCTTACCAATACCTGCTCTTCCCTCACTTCGTCTTGGTACCTTCATTTACCCATTCCTTAAGCCCCTCCGGGGTGCCTGCCGTGCGCCAGGGAAGCAGGGCTCTCTGTGGAACGTGGCCCGTTTCTTTAATATTTGAATAGTCCAGGTAAGAACTGATACTGACCGGGAACAACAACAACAAAAATGGCTTGTGAACTTTGGATTTTGCAGAGCTGGAATGGACTTCAAGGTTCCAGGGATCTTCCAACTCCTCAGAGCTCCTTTCTAGACCACCATGCATGGAACCAACGAGAGGAGAATTTAGAAGGGTTCTGGACGCCCCCCCCCCCCAGCTTGGCTTCAAACAGCGAATTTTTAGCTTTTAGATGTTTTATATCTTGGACATCCCTTGTAAGATTTATTTGCACAAAGAGTTCTAAGGTTCAAATATGTTTGAAAATCTTGTCCTAACGTAATCTCACTCAGCAGGCTGGGAGGAGTTAGGTGACTTGTCCAAAGTCATGCTATCAGTGGTGCCAGAGCCAGGGTGGGAAGTGTAGCTTCTAGTCCAGTGTTCTTTGGACGAGTCAAACCACGTCCTCAATCTCTCAGGTAAAATGGGGAGCAAGGCAGTTTTGTAGTCACTGCATCAATCTAATGCAGTTTATTCTTGTTAGAAACCTAGCTTCCTGGAGAATATGTGTCCTCTGGCCAGACTATTATTTCCTATACTTAAGGAAAAATCAAGCATTGGGGGCCACTGCATTGGGTTTTAGGTTGGTTTGGGTGGGAACCTTAAGTGGTGTACAAAAACTTATCCCTAAGAGGACTCCAGGTCTCGGTGTTTCTGCTGTGTCCCCGGGAGGCCCCTGCCGTTGGGAGTAGCTCCCAAGTGCTCGTGTGTCACTGGTGGTAAAGCCGGCTGTGGACCTCCTTTAATGAAGGTCTAGTAACCCATTCCTCCTGGGAGAAGACTTGGTCTACAGCCAAGGTTCAGTTTTTAAAAAACTGGAAAGGGGGACCCCAAGTGCAGTGTCACAAACGGATCAACACCAGTCACAGAAGCGCGTCTGCGGTCTCCCTACTGTGGGCCTTTTCGGGGGAGACCTAGGAATGACTGGTACTTGTGAGGATACTAGGGTTTCTCTCTCAGGCAATTCTGAAGGTTCTGCTCCATCATTAGAAGCTCTAGGATACAAGAGGAAATACCTCTACAGGGCACAGACGGCCTCCTGGGCCCGCGGCCCGCGGCGCTCCGCTCCGGCTGGATACAGGCCGGCGGCGCTGGCGCAGCCCGTGGAGGGCGCCGGGGGGCGGGGCGGAGCGGAGCAGCGCTCGGGCGGCCTCGCGGCTGCGGGGGGCTGGGGGGGCTGCGGGGGGGGCTCGAGGGGCGGGGGGCTGCGGGGGCTCCGGGGCGGCCGAGGGGCTGCAGGACCGGCTCGTCGTCCCGGCGCCGGGTTTCAGCCTGGCGCCCCCGCAGCCCCGGGGCGCTGGGCGGGGCGAGCCGGGCCCTGGGGTAGGGGGAGTGGAGGGGGGCGGAGGGGGGCCGGGCGCGCTGCCCCTGCCCCTGCTGTCCCCCGCCCCTGCTGCCCGCCCCCGCTCCCCTCTGTGCCTGTCCGCAGCCGGAGGAGCCGGGGGCGACGCGGGAGCCTCAGGGCCGGGGGGCGGGGGCGGCGGCGGCGGCGGCGGCGGCGGGGGGCGGGGCGGCCGCCCGCAGCCCCTCCCGGTGCAGCGCTTCCCACTGGCCGCGGTTCGCCGCCACCGAGTCCAGCATGGGCTTCAGCTTCGCGTTGACCTTCACCAAGGCCTGGAGCAAACAAAAGGAAACAGGTGGAGCAGAGGCCGGGCCTCCCCGGGGAGGGGGCGGGGGCGGGCCGCCAGGGCTGTCCGGGCCGACGGGCTCCTCCCGGGGACCCGCGGGGAAGACGGAGTGAGACGGCGGCTGCGTCCCGCCCCCGGGGGCGGCCAGGTAGCTGGTGACCCCGTTTTCAATCCACATCACACAAATCTGGGACACGTAGGGCACAGAATATCCAGCTCCACCTATGAGTATGTATATTGCTGCCCACCGTGGAGACCTCCACATCCCAATAGACCATGAACTTTTTTTTTTGAGATTTTATTTATTCATGAGAGACACAGAGAAGCAGACACCCTGATGCGGGATTCGATCCCAGGACCCTAGGATAATGACCTGAGCCAAAGGCAGACGCTCAACCACGGAGCCACCCAGGTGCCCCAATAAACCACGAGGTTAAGTTTTTACCAAGCTACATCTGTCCACCACGGATGGTTCCGGGTGGACTCACCTGAATAAGGCTTGTTAACATCCCGAGAGGTGTTCATTTTTCACACCAAAGATGGGGGAGCTGAGCTGTGCTAAATGTACAGATGGGGATGTGAACACGTAGGGAGATGGGCCGGAGGGAAGGCAGTGGCAGGAAGGGGCCAGGCTGCAGCCAGGGGAGGAGGGAAGAGGACCTGCAGGTGAGCCAGCTCACCATGAGGCTAATGAAGGATTCCGGGCCCTACTTGCAGGACTCTCCTAAATATTTTCTCTTTTACTTAATTTTGTTATTCAAAAAAACAGAGCCCCCTACTCTCTAATGGCATACACTTCCAGCCTTATAAAACCTGGGTGGCCTCTGTCATGGAACACAGTAATGAATAGAGCGGGGACCATGGAGCTGTGGCCCTGTTAGCCCATGGAAAGGGAGTTGGCCCACTTTATGCCTTGGGTCTGCGTTCTGTGGCCAAACATACCCCCACTCCGTGTAGACACCTTGCCGGTGTGTCCCATTCACCCCAAATCCACTGCAATTTCAGCCTACCTCCTGAACAGCCTTCTCCACGCAGGACTTGTGGTTAGAGGCTGCTCAACAGCAAAGCCTCCCAGCGCAAAGAACAGGCCTTCGTGTGGAGGGTAGAGCGCAGATCACCGGTGAGACCGGATTCATCCCCTCAAATAACCCTCACTCCACAGTATGAAAGGATATGACTTAAATGCAACGAGATGTTAGTTAAGCGGGTGTTGAAAAGCCCAGTAGTGACCAGGGATCCTACTGAGCCGTGAGCCCGCCAACTTGGCTGAAGTGGTGTCCCCTCACACTGATGGCTCTTAAACGGAGCATATTCTCTCTCTTAAAAGTGGTATTTATTACACTAATCAGCATTTAATTTTAAACCAGATTTATTAGCTATTCCATATGAAAACAAAACATAGCAACATAATAACTCAGGTAGTGATCAAAATCCCCTTTATTTTCACGAGAAAAATGCAGGTTACGGCTTTCTGCTCCATACACAATGTTTTTATTTGGACAACCATGTGGGGTAGCAACGAATGCCACGGTTTTATTTAGTATAGTTTGGCACTGGCTCCTTTTCACTCTGATCAAGCCTTTTAATTAAACTGACTACTATAATTCCTATGGAAATTAGTGTTTATGTTATTTTCCTGCTACAAAAGCATTTCTCTAGAACTTATTTTTTTTTTAATCCCAGGAGCACAAATTGGAATTTTTTTTCTGCCTGAAATGTAATTAAAAACTCATTTGATTACTATATTTCTGGCTCTGTTTTACTTATTAAATTCCTGTAATCAGTTTTCTTTTATGAAGCTGCTGGGAAATGATCTCAAAAGCAACACATTTTTCTCTTCTTTGGCAGGTTCCCGAGCATTTACTAAATTACATTCATAGCACCTGCCCATGATTCGAATTACTCCACCAATTTATTCCTTAAACCATTTAAGTTTATTTGGCTTAGTCCCAAACAGAGATTTCTTTCCTTTATCTAGCTCTTTGTTCTCCCTCTTGCTACCTTTGTGGTGAATAAAAAAAAACTTTCTGGGGGTGTGGAGGGGTGCGGTACATATTTCTCAGAATTCCTTCTCTTTGTTTCATATTCTCTTTAATTAAACACGGAATTGCCATATTAGAATATCGTTTTCCTCTGGCAGGTGCCGGGTCTAGGTAAAGGTAGCAAAAATCCCATCCTGTGCTGTCAGTCAGATAATTGCTCACGCTATTTAGAAAGATATGGATATGCCTAAAAGCTTCTCATCAGTGACACCTGATGAGTTCTGTGCAAATGCTACTTGTTCACGAGTCTTGTTTGACTTGCTCTTCACTTAGCAAAAGAGAAGGGGACAGTTATCACCTGTCTAGTCACTCTCCGTATAAATGCAACGGAACTCAATGAAAACTACAACGTGTTTTAAACGTGTCCAGAGGCGGTGAACGCCTGGGTTGTTCTGATTTTAGAATGTCGTTCCTTATCTGGAGCTGAAATCTATATCCTGATAATGTCTACCTAATGGGCCTCGAAGCCGGAATCTACTTGAGCAGCGTGGGACTGATGACTCGTGTGCTGTTGCAGGCGTACGTAGGTCAGGGTTGGGACTGACCAAAAAACCCAACTTGGGATGTGCTGCTTATTATCCCTTGGGGCAACTGTATGGCTATCACGGGGGCTCCCAGATCCTGCCAGGCCCACGCACCTTGGTACGTGCCCTCTCCGGAACACAGCCCTGGGCGTCTAGTCATCCAAGTGGCCACAGGACCCCACTTCCTTCCTGATTCCATTCACTCTGTGGTTGAGTCCCCTTGACCAGCAGGTACAGTTTATTCCACACTGTTTTTTTTTTTTTTTTAGATTTTTATTTATTTATAGAGACACACAGAGAGAGAGAGAGAGGCAGAGACACAGACCGAGGGAGAAGCCGGCTCCATGCAGGGAGCCCGACGTGGGACTCGATCCCGGGTCTCCAGGATCACACCCCGGGCTGCAGGCGGCACTAAACCGCTGTGCCACTGGGGCCGCCCCATTTATTTATGTTTTGAATAAATAATAGGTTCACATAGTCCAATGGATATGAAGGGCAAAAGAGGTACAATGTAAAATCTCCCTTCATGCCTGCCTCAGACACTTAGTTTCTTTTCCTAGAGGCAACCAAAGTTATTGATTTCTTGGGTATCCTTCAAGAAACCTTTTATGCATGTGTAAGCATATATATAAAAATATATACATGTATACGTATGTGTATAACATGTCTATGTATACATTTAATGCACTCTAGACAATGTATGTATGTGTATGTGCATAATTAAGTTGATTCCTCTACCATTTCGGATGTTTTAGAGACGGGGTGAAATCAGAACTTTGTGGAACAACATCATTATGATGCTTGAGCGAGCCCAAATGTACTGTGTAGAAATTAGCACTTGAAGTATAGAGAGAGGAGAGGGACCAAATTCTAATTTTCGATTGCTATGACACTGAGAGTTTCTTCTGCAGACCTTAATCTGCTGTGAATGCACTCTATTGTCATTTTCCTCTGAAAAGTTGTAGTTTTCATTCCTAGAAGTTTGATTTGGACGATTTTTATATCTTCCATGACTCTGCTTATCATGCTTGATCTTTTCTCTACCCTTTTGAACATATGAGACATAAATGTCTTCATGTCCTTCTCTGTCAATTCTATGATCTATATTATTTCTGAGTCTATATTGACTGATTCATTTTTTCTCATTATTTTGGGCCAAGTTTTCTTGCTTGTTTGCATGCTTGGTAATTCTTGACTGGATATCAGCCATTGTGAATCGGATGCTGTTGCATGCTGGATTTTTACTTGTTTATCTATTTATTTTGGCATTTCTTTAAACGTTTTTCAGTCTTGTTCTGGGATGCAGCTAGGCTACTTGGAAATAATCTGGTCCTTTTGAGGCTTGCTTTTCAGCTTTGCTAGGTTGGTCCAGAGCAGCCTTTAGTCTGGGGTTGATTTGGGTCCACTACTGAGACAACATAAAGGAACTGTACACACGGTACCTCCGATGTTTCAAGGTTTTAATATTCTGGCTGGCGGGAGCATGGATTATTCCCCAGCCTATGTGAGCTCTGGAGATTGTTGTACTTGTTCCTCAGCCAGACCAGGGCCCCATATGCATGTGGTGAACAGCACTGGAGCTCACGCTGCAGATCTCTGGAGCGCACACGCTCGCTCTCTCGCTCTCTCTCTCTCTCTGGTAGCTGCCTCTTCTCTGGTCCTCTCCCCTGGGACCTCCAGCCTCCTTGGCCTCCCCAGACCCCCGCTCAGTGAGACCACTGGGGCTCTGCCCGTGTTTCCCTCCCTGGGCTGTGCCTGGAAGCTGTCTCCGTAGTTAGCTAAGACAGTTGTAGGGCTCACCTCATTTGCTCCCCTCTCTCCGGAATCCCCATATTGTGCTGCACGCAGACTGTTTCAACAACACTGTGGTTTCATGCTTTCTCCCCTGTTGCTTTATCACAGCCGGCAGTTAGAGGTCCCTCATCCCTGGTTCTAAACAGCTCTGCTTGGGGTACTATCCCACGGGCTCCCATGGAGAGTGGAAACAAGGCCTTTCATGTTTGCGTCTCTAGCTCCTCCCACAGTGACCCTGGGGACCGAGAGCCTTTCCTCTGCTTTGCCCACAGAGCAGGGGCAGGAGGAGAGGGTACGGCTCCGACAGCTGCTGCCAGTGGCTGCCAGTGGGGTCAGGACGTCGTGACCTGCTACAGAATCCTGCTATAAAAACAATCCCGGAATGACCCTCTTGGGAAATGAATATAGGATTCTCTCTTATTACCATTATTCCTGAGACCATGTTTTTTTTATCAGTTCGCCAAGCTGCTAGGAGTCAGAGTCTGGCCCTGCTCTCTCCCTGCCATCATGATCCACGTCTGCTATCATCTGGCCCAGTGTGTGCTTATTAGCTGACCGCAATCACTTCTTGGACTTCAACTGTTGGATCCATGGGGCAGATGTGGGACAAGGAAATAAACAAAGAG